TATTTTCTTCCTTTTAAAAACATTGTCTTCAGTTTTTACCTTATTTTCCTTCAGTATGTGATCAAATCCAGAGCTTTTCACTTTAGGCAAGTGCACTACCACTGAGCTACATCCCCAACTGTCTTAGTTAAGAGTTTATATTGCTGTGATAAAACACCATGACTGTGGTAGTTTGGATGTAATTGCCCCCCATAAGCTCATAGAGAGTGGCACTAATGGGAGTGTGGCTTTGTTGAAGTAGGTATGACCTTGTTGGAGGAAGTGTATCACTGTGGAGGCAGGCTTTGAAGTCTCATGCATGCTCAAGTCATGCCCAGTAGTTCAGTTTACTTTCTGTTGCCTGTGGATCAAGATGTGTTAACTCTTAGCTCCTTCCCAGCACCATGTTCCACTATGATGATAATGGATTAAACCTCTGAAACTGTAAGCCACCCAATTAAATGTTTTCCTTTATAAGCATTGCCCTGGTTATGGTGTCTCTTCACAGCAATAGAAACCCTAAGGTATTGTAGTCGATCATAAAGGTCAGGGCAAGAACTGATGCAGTAATCATGGAGGAATGCTGCTTATTGGCTTGCTCAGCTTGCTTTCTTATAGCACCCAGGACCACCAGCCAAAGGATATCACTATCCACAGTGGAGTGGATCCTGTGGTGGTATTGTGTTCCCCAAAATATTGTGCACCCTAATAAACTTATCTGGGGTCAGAGAACAGAATAGCCACTAGATACAGAGGCTAGAAAATGGTGGCACTCACACCTTTAATCCTAGCCTTCTAGAGGCATGGATCTCTGTGAGTTCAAGGTCACACTGGAAATAGCCAGGCATGGTGACTCACACCTTTAATCCCAAGAAGTGAGCCTTTAATCCCAGGAAGTGAGGGCAGAAGGCAGAAAGGTATTTCAGGTGTGAAGACCAGAAACTAGAAGCTTTTGCCTGGTTAAGCATTCAGGCTTTCAAGAAGCAGTTCAGCTGAGATTCATTTGGATAAGGACTCATAGGCTTCCAGTCTGAGGAAACGGGATCAGCTGAGGAACTGGAGATTTGAGGTAGCTGTGGCTTGTTCTGCTTCTCTGATCTTCCAGCATTCACCCCAATACCTGGCTCCAGGTTTGATTTTATTAATAAGACCATTTAAGATTCCTGCTACAGGATCCTCCGCATCAATCACTAATTAAGAAAATGACTTACAGATTTGCCAATAGGCCAGTATTATGGAGGCATTTTATCAATTGAGAGTCTATCTTATGTTAAGTTGACATAAAACTATCCAGCACACTGACTGCTGTCTTCAGTTAGTTATCCATGGTTTCCTTTTGCTTTTTCAGTAGGTTTACAACTGTTGATTTGAATTATTTTTCTGGTAAATCCAAGGCCTGTTATTCAGGACAGTGTATAAGCTATTTTCCTCACTGCTTTAATAAAAATACCTGACAAAAGTGACTTAAGGAAATAAGAGTTTATTAGAAGGAATAATGTCCAGCATGACAAGGGAGACCTGCTGCAAGAGCATAGTGTGCTTGGTTACATCGCACCAGCAGTTAGAAAGCAGAGAGAAGAGAGGAACTGAGACTAAGCTATAGAACCTCAAGCCTAAACTCTGACCCACTTCCTCCAGCAAGAGTATGCCTAAAAGTTTCACAACTTTCTCAAATAGCATCTCCATCTGGAGACTAAATATTCAGGCATTTGAGCCTATAAAGGATGTTTCACAAAACACATTTATTGTTTCTTCTCTCCTCCTTGTGGTGGTATTGTGTTCCCCAAAATATTGTGCACCCTAATAAACTTATCTGGGGTCAGAGACAGAACAGCCACCAGATACAAAGGCTAGAAAATGGTGGCACTCACACCTTTAATCCTAGCACTCCAGAGGTAGAAATCCCTCTGGATCTCTGTGAGTTCAAGGCCACATTGGAAACGGTCAGGCATGGTGACACACGCCTTTAATCCCAGGGAGTGTTGGTAGAAAGCAGAAAGATATATAAGGCGTGAAGACCAGAAACTAGAAGCATTTGGCTGGTTAAGCATTTGGCTGGTTAAGCTTTCAGGCTTCTAGCAGCACAGTTCAGCTGAGAGCCATTGGGATGAGGACACAGAGGCTTCCAGTCTGAGGAAACAAGATCAGCTGAGAAGTTGGCCAGGTGAGGTTAGCTGTGGCTTGTTCTGTCTCTCTGATCTTCCAGTGTTCATCCCAATACCTGGCTCAGGTTTGATTTTATTAATAAGACTTTTTAAGATTCCTGCTACACCTCCTCCTCTTCCTCCTTCTTCCTTTCTTTCAGTGAGATGTACTTTCTAAGCTCCTTGTATGTCTCATAATTTTGTTAAAAGCGGGAAATTTAGAATGCCATAAAGTGGTGACTCTAAAAATCAGATGCCCTTCTTCCCAGGGTTTGATTTTGTTATAATGAGTGATTGAGCAAATCATGATACTGCCATCACATAAGATAGCAAGGTTATAGTTAAGACAATTATGAAAACAATACAGCTGTAAAATTTTTAGGATTACATTCAATAAAGGTCATATGGGACTGGAGAGACTGCTTAACAATTAAGAGTATATACTCTTAAATATGTCCTAAGTTCAGTTCTCAGCATTCATATGGGTGGCTCACAACTGCCTATAACTGCCCAGGGGATCTGATGTCTTCTTTTTGTCTCCAAAGGTACACACACACATACACACACACTAATAATAATAATAATAATAATAATAATAATATTATTATTATTATTATTATTCAGGCCAGCCTGATCTACACAGAAAGTTCCAAGACAGCCAGAACTACATAGTGAGATGCTGCTATCTCAATAAATAAATAAATAAATAAATAAATAAATAAATAAATAAATAAATAAATAAGGAAAGTAATCTTTAAAAATGATGTTTTTTAAAAAAGGAACTCGCATACAAAACTATAAGATCCACTAATGCTAGTACTGAATAAAAACTAAAATAGAAAGCTAAAAATGGATTATGAAAAATGATAGTTATTATATGATGATGATATAGGGTTTTCTCTTAATATTCTCAAGTTTCCTTTAATATGATTTTTTGTGCTTTTAAAATTGGACATTTTATTTTAATTTTGTATTTAGAAAATAATAGATGATCATGTACAGATTCAAAATAGAGATTACAGAAGTGTAAAATAAGCTCACAATAAGACTTCTGCTATGACTTAAACCTCAGGCAACAGAGGAAGCAAGTTCTTATGGAATCTTGCAGACACTGTGCATAATATGTAAGTTTTACTTTTATTTATTGATTAATTTTTTGCTTTGAGACAGTCTCATATATCCTAGGTTGACTTCAAATTCACTAAGTAGTTGAGGTTGAACTTTGCTGTGGGATGTTCTGTATGGCAAATGTGTTGCTGATTGGTCAATAAATAAAACACTGATTGGCCAGTGGCCAGGCAGGAAGTATAGGCAGGACAAGGAGGAGAATAAAGCTGGGAAGTGGAAGGCTGAGTCAGAGAGACACTGCCAGCCACCATGATGAGAAACAGCATGTGAAGATGCCGGTAAGCCACGAGCCATGTGGCAAGGTATAGATTTATAGAGATGGATTAATTTGAGCTGTAGGAACAGTTAGCAAGAAGCCTGCCACGGCCATACAGTTTGTAAGCAATATAAGTCTCTGTGTTTACTTGGTTGGGTCTGAGCAGCTGTGGGATTGGCGGGTGACAGAGATTTGTCCTGACTGTGGGCCAGGCAGGAAAACTCTAGCTACAGAACTTGAATTTCTGATCCTCTTGCCTCCACTTCCCTGAGTTCTGGGATTACAGGCATTCTCTGTGGGATAATGGGAGAATGCTTGTTTCTCATTAGATGCAGATTTTAAAAGGTAATTTGTTATAATAAAAATTTAGGCCGGGCAGTGGTGGCGCACGCCTTTAATCCCAGCACTCGGGAGGCAGAGCCAGGCGGATCTCTGTGAGTTCGAGGCCAGCCTGGTCTCCAAAGCGAGTTCCAGGAAAGGCGCAAAGCTACACAGAGAAACCCTGTCTCGAAAAAACCAAAAAAAAAAAAAAAAAAAAAAAAAAAAAAAAAAAAAAAAAAAAAAAAAAAAAAAAAAAAAAATTTAAATATAATTAAATTAAAAAGCAGTACAAAGTCCTATATAACTTTCACTGAGACAGCTCAATTATTTCACAAATGTGTGAAACTGTTCAATTGTTAATTTCTTAAATCTGTGTGATGTGACTGTCTGTGTATGTCCCATCATTATCATTTGGGCTTTTTATGAACTAATTGAAAGCAAGCTGTAAACATTATGTATTATTTCCAAATATTTAGATGTGATAGTTTTAAAAACAAGAACACTCTTGAACCTACAACACTGTCAAGCAGGAGGTCAATTTTAAGAATGATTCAGTTTGTTATCAGCATATACAATAAGAGGAGGCAAGGATTTCAACTTCCTATATCCTTTTCTTAAACACCAGTCAGGGAAATACTGATATAAGAAAGCCCAGATGAATGCTGCACCAGTTTTGAGATACTTTCTTGTTGAAGAATCCCTTTAAGAATATAGCTAGCAGTGTTATATTGTATCGTATGCTGAGTAGAGCCAAGCAGCAACCCTCAAATCTCTTAAGAATCCAGAAAATGAGAAACTGTCTCATGGTAGCATCCCAGAAGAGATAAGGTTAGAGGAATGTGTCCTTGAAGCAATACCTCACAAACCTAACATTGTCTTGCTTTCCAGGAGTAGAAGACATTCTATAAAGACTAGAGTTACAACTCAGCTTATGTATGCATGGACACATGCTTGCAAGGTCACGGGGCAACCATTGCAGGTCCATTTTCTATGCCCTTGGTTTTCAAATATTGAGCTATAAAGTCTCAGGAATATGGAGCACTCCATCAAATATAGTCTAGTAAATTCTACCTATAGGAATTCTACCAAATATATTGTTTTAGGCAACAGCACAAGAATGACAGTCACTATGACTCTTTAAGTATTGTAATCAGTTGAAGGATACACTTGGCTCTGGAGCCAAAATAGTTCAATATTTTATTAATGCAGACACAATAAGGAATATTGAAAGTTGCACATTTTACCTTGACAGAAAGTATTTTGTAGAAACACATTTATATATCAAACTGACTATCACACATGTATGATATACTGGAATATGAGTCTTGGTTATCCAAGGGGAAAACTCACAAAAAGAGGGATACTTATATGCTTAGTGCAGTCTCCTCCTATAATGTTTACTCCACAGAGAATGAAACTTGATAGTCATCCTGTTGTCAAATGGCAGAATTCACTATGGGCTACTGTCCATGAGACAGAGAAAATGAAATAAAGGTGCATTTGATGGTGCTAGTGGGTGGGGTCATATGAGGTAAGTACTGCAATAATCCCACCCAGCTAACAGAGTTACTTTTTGCATAGGCTGCACAGTTGTAGCATCCTAGTACTGAAAAAAAGATTACTGGAAAATGGAGACTATATCCTAGTGTAACACTTACTTAAAGAAGACCATTTAGATTTTAAATATGACCATTCTCTGAGAATATACCTCTTAATTACATAAACTATTTAATCATGTTGAGAGAGGGTTACATACCCAATGTTCTTTAAGTAAGCTAAGCTATCTTTAAACCAGGCCCAAGTATGTGTAGAAACATCAGTGTAACAAAGTCCCCAGGAAAGAGAAGTGGGGGATAAAGATCATGGTACTAAAGTGCTGATAGAAACAGGAATGCTTAAGTCTATGACTTCATGCTAACTAGTTTTTTTAAGCACTCCCGTTTTTATTAGCTTCATCAGCAGAGTGGGACCTATTTCTCCAGCATCTAAAACTACTTTTCAGACATCACATAGCTAGGACCTCCCTTTGAGAATATAACATTCATTAAGTACTTTTAGCATAAGCACAAGGGTATAAAGGATATTTCCCACACAAAAGTATACTGAAGATGAGTTTCAAAGACCTCAATTTTATGTATAGAGTGAGCAAATAACACTGGAATAGCAATATTGTAACATGAAAAAGTCTTAATCGTAGTGAGGCACCACCAGTAGTCCAAGAACTCAGAAGCACGATAAAGCTTCACTCTTCTAAAATAAATGACCCAATCTGGTGAAAGTTTTATTTTCTTTTTAAACCAAGTAAAGTTTTTTTCTTTTGTGAAAAAGAGTCACTTTTCTTTGAGGCACAAAACATTTACCCTACTGTTTTGGGAAATGTTCCTTGGCAAGTAGCCACCCCAATTTTGTTGGGGCTTAGTTATTAGGTAGTGGCAACTATAATCATTAAGATTAAGACAGTAGGCAAAACTTTGTCATTACAGTGAAAACATTAACATCAGAGGTAAACTCTAACACTGTATGAGTACAGGTAAAACAATGTTGATCTAATTTTAAAACAACTTTTACTGCAAGTTTTTCCAAACAGTGTAAGGCCTTCTTAAAAAAAAAAAAAACTAAGGATCTCATTCTGTAGTTCAGGCTGGCCTCAACAACAATCCCTCTACATCAGTCTTCTGAATGCTGGGATTACAGACATCAGCAAGTACATTCAGTTCTAAAAGGACTTGAGCTTTCCAGCTCCCCGCCCCCTCTAGTGTTGACAGTTGAACATAAGATTGCTCTCTCTCTCTCTCTCTCTCTCTCTCTCTCTCTCTCTCTCTCTCTCTCTCTCTCTCTCTCTCTCTCTCTTTCATTTCTTGATTCTGTGAGGAATAACATAGGACCTTTAATAGAGATTTTGTTGAATCCTAAGGACCACTTTCAAAGACACAGCCATCTTCACAATATTAATTTTGACAATCCACAAGCATGAGAAGTCTTTACATCTTCTACTTTTGTCTTCAATTTCTTTCCTCAGTGACAAAGTTTTCATCATGTTTTACCTCCTGGTTTATATTTATATTTCTTACTTATTCATTTTTTTGTATATTAAATGAGATTTTTTCTAGACTGACTTCATTCTCAACAGGTTCATCAAGGTATATGAATAGCTACTGATTTTTGTGTGTTCATTTTGTGTTAGGGTTTCCATTGCAGTGAAAAAAAAATTTCATGACCAAAATTAGCTTGGGAATTAAGGGTTTATTTCATCTACAAATCTCAAATCATACTCCATCACTGGGGGATGTCAGGACAGGAACTCAAGGCAGGAACCTAGATTCAGGAACTGAGGCAGAAACCATGGCAGAACACTGTTTACTGGTTTGTTCCTCATGGTTTGCTCAGCCTGCTTTCTTATACTATCAAGGACCACCCTCCATAGGGTGGCACTATCTCCTGTGGGATGAGCCCACCAACATCAACCATTAATTAAGAAAATGCCCCACAGCCTTACCCACAGGTCAATCTGGTAGGGGCATTTTCTTGATTGAGGATTCCTTCCTAAATGATCCTATCTCATGTCAAGCTAACATAAAACAATCCAGCATATTTTGTGCCCTACTACTTTGCAGAAAATATTTGTTGGTTCTAAGAGTTTTTCAGTGATGTACTTAGGGTTTTTGAAAAATGGAATCATATTATCTGCAAATACGAATAATTTGATTTCTTTCCTATTTGTATTCTTTTATTTTATTCTCTTATCTTACAGCTTTAGCTAAGACTTTAACTGTTATATCGAATAACATTGACGAGAGTGAGCACCCTTGTTTTATTCCTTACTTTAGCAGAAGTGCTTTCAGTTTTCAACATTTAGTATCATGTTGGCTATAGGCTTATTGAATAAAGCCTTTACCATGTCAAATTATGTTCATTCTATTCCCAGTTCCTTCAGGGAATTTTATCATGAGTAGATATTGAAGGGTTTTTTGGATATTGAACTTTTTAAAAAGCATTTTATGCATCTATTGAAATGATCAGGTGATCCTTAAGCAAACAAGCAACCCCCAAATACTAATAGTGAAGAAAGAAAACAACAAACAATTCAATCAACCAGAAATCAATGAACAAACTTGCAAAAATGAGTCTTCATCTTCCTGGAAGCTCAAGGTCAGTCCCTGGAATGTAAAGGTAAAAGGAGACAGCCATTTTTATAAAGTTGTCCTCTGACCTTCACACATGAACTGTGGCATGTGTACCCACAGTCATCATGCACACTCATACATACACAGTAAATAAAGAGTTTGAAAAATAAACCAATAAGCAAAGTCATAGTACTACAAAAGAGTATAGCAGAATGAAAAAAAGTGTGGAAGCACAGAGGTCAGAAAGGAAAAAGGGAAAGGAAAACATTGTTCAATAATGAAAAATATGTGCAAACAAAATAAGATGAATATGAAAGGGCACAATTTGTGGAGTATTAGGCAGGTGGTATCAGCTGAACATGTGATCTTTTATCATTCCTGTGTTTTTTGCTCCTGTTAAAACTATATTGGACTTTCTTAATATTTGAAAACAGTTTTTTCACTTTAGTAGCTTTTCTTTGTTGTATAATAGGGTTCTTGGCTGGCCACTCTTAACTTTACAATTTGTGGGCTGGACAGGTTCTTCCACCTGCCCAATACTCCTCAGATTGTAATTTCTGGGATGACTAATTTTCTACCTAGAGAATGTCTCTCAAGTTTGTTGGAAGTATGGGAAACAGTTACAGCACTAAGATCTGTTACAGGGAGAAAGATATGTCTTTATGCTTTTAAGACTCCCTACATCTCTCCGTGAGGAAGGGATGTAGCCATGAATTTCAAGTAGACCCCTGGAGCTTCTGAATTCTCAGACTATAGTAGTGAATGGCGGTATGTGGTCCTAGAAGTTGTTTTATCCACTCACCTGCACCTCAGAACTATCATACTCCAGGGTTATTCACAGGTGAGGTCTGTTCTTGACCACTGAGGGAGAAGATACTTTTCCCTATGAAATTTACTGAGATGAGAGCTTCTTGTCCTTTTTGACTTGTTAGTATCCAGCCATTCCACTCCCTGCAACTGCCTCCAAATCTCTCTCTCTCTCTCTGGAGCTGAGGCATGTTAAATTTAGGATCCCTGGTTTGTGGTTGTTTCCTGTTCTCTTGCCCACGGGTAGCTCAGTTTTTAAGTTTTCTTAAGATAGCACTAGGCTACTGCTCTGAAGTCTTACCAAGTGGCAAAATGGCTTTCCTCTCCACTGCTGACCCATCCAACAGAGGAATCACTGTCTCACCAAACCTCCAACAGGATTTGAGGTTTGCACGGGCTATAGGAGTGTTCTGAAGGGAGAACTACCCATCTATTTTCCTCAATGTGGCCTAGATTACCTGTTGAAGGAGGCTTCGATGTAGCATGAATGTTAAAGAGTCTTACTAATAAAATCAAACCTGAAGCCAGTTATTGGGGTGAACACTGGATGATCAGAGACAGAACAAGCCACAGCAATCTCACCTTGCCAATTCCTCAGTTGGTCCTGTTTCCTCAAACTGGAAGTTTCTGTGTCCTCATCCCAATGGCTCTCAGCTGAACTGCTGCTAGAAGCCTGAATGCTTAACCAGCCAAAATGCTTAACCAGGCAAATGCTTCTAGTTTCTGGTCCTCACGCCTTACAAACCTTTCTGCTTTCTACCACCACTCCCTGGGATTAAAAGCTGCTTTCTGGGATTAAAGGCATGAGTCACCATGCCTGGCTGTTTCCAATGCGGCCTTGAACTCACAGAGATCCAGAGGGATTTCTGTCTCTGGAGTGCTAGGAGTAAAGGCGTGTGCTAACATTTTCTAGCCTAAGTATCTTGTGGCTTTTCTGTTCTCTGACCCCAGATAAGTTTATTAAGGTACACAATATTTTGGGGAACACAATACCACCACACTTCTGCTTCTCTTCCCCCTGCCAGAGAGTAATGAGGGTGGAGCTGCGTTCAGCTTGGCTGCTTTCCAGTGCAACACCCATCTCTTTTCCAATTTTTAAGATTGCTAACTTTGTGAATTTCTAAAGCCCTTCCTCTCATTGAAATATTTTATTTTATTCTCACTCTTCATTAGGTCACACAGCTGCTAGTCTATCATTTTTCCAGAAGACTGGTTATACATTTTTATTCAATGTAAGTATCAAGTGGTATTTGTCCACTTCTGAATTGGGTTGCTTTTTTGCAGTTGTTGTCTGAGCTCTTTATATATTCTGGATACTAGATTCTTAGATATGTTATTTATAAATGTTTTGGCCCATTTTCTGAGTTTTCATTTTTTTAATGTTTTTGATGTACATTTCTAAATTTTCATCAGGTCTAACAACTATCTTTTTGTGTTTTTTCTAAAATGCCATTGCTAAAACCAAAGTAATAAAGATTTAATGATGTTTTAATATTTTAATAGTTACAAGTTTTTACATTTAAATCTTTAATACATTTTAATTAACACTCATACATGATATGGGGTAGGGGTCCACCTTCATTATTCTGTGCAGATATTTAGTTGACAAGTCACCAGCTGTTGAAAGGACTATGGTTTCCCCCATTCAACTGTCTTGGTATTTTTGTTAAAAATCAGTTTACCATATACATATGCATTCATTTCTGGAGTCAATTCAATTCACTGTTAGTGGAGAACAGTATTTGAAGTCTAGCATCTTGGTAGCAGGAGTGCTCATTAGCTACTGAAGTACCATTTCTATTCCCTCTTAATGGGCAGAGGTAAGAACTGGAGGTATACAGATAAAATGATCATTCTCTCAATTAATACACATAATTCCCTTTTAAAACAATCATGTTAACTTTCTATTTCCATTTAACATCATGGGGGTAATTTTATCTTTCCTTTTCACATATCTGTAAAAAAAAGTCTCAAGCATGAAAAAACTAGCTCCAATTTTCCTCAATGCCTTTACTTATTTGCTCAATCATTTTATTTAATGAAAGGGATCATTGTCTCTGCTTCACTGTGAGGGTACTGACACAGGACATCTTTCACTAAATCTTGTTCCTGTCCTGCTGCTACAAGGCTAAGAACTCTTATGCCTTCATAAAGTAACTCCAGACACTAGGCACCATGATACCCCATCTGCCCATTCCTCCTCACACATACCTATTCTATACATTCCAACTCTAATTATTTAAAAGAAATCCAAATTGCTAGAACTCTGTAACAGTGCAAACAGTTTAAAAGGTGACAAAGATGTTGAGGTTGCCTATTTGAATTCCAATTTGTGCACATGGATGCTTCCCTTCACTAAGGTAAGAAATATAAAATAATATAGGTTGGGCCAGAAACATGTTAAAATTTATCAAATTCAATGTGGTAATAAGACTGCCCAGTGGAAATATATAATGGGCAGCTAGAAATCTAAGTCTGGAGTTCAGAGATGTAGAGAGAGAAATGGATTTGTTTATAACTTCATGGAGAAGCTTATGAATGAATTTTAGAAGGAACAGATAGGAAATAATAAAATATATGATAACAAAGTGGTAGATTTGGAAAAATGACTAACTGTGTCAAGCCAGAGGTTTATTAATGGCAGTTTTCAAAAAAGAATATAAGTTTGACTATGTGGAAGTTATTGGTGACTTTAGGAGGAATGGTTTGTCCTAGTAAGATCTTCAACTGTAGAACTTCAAAACCAATATTATGGTAATGGTATAATACTGCTAAGTAGACTACAGACTTTATTCACTTCTACTAGATTTTACATGCATTGATTTTTCTATATATAAATCTATAAAATGCTAGCACAGGAACATATTTATGTACTAAACACTAAATTTAAGATATAAAACTGCTTCATCAGCCTAAATGAACTCTTATGTCACACTCCAATAATAATACATATGCTATACAATGTCTAGTCCCTGACTCTGGAAATCTGTTCTTCCTTTTCATTAATTCTAACATTTCAACAATGCTCTAGAAATACAACCATACAGTAAGTGACCTTTTTTTTGGGGGGGGGGCATTGAGACAGGGTTTCTTTGTGTAGCTTTGGAGCCTTTTCTAGAACTCACTCTGTAGCCCAGGCTGGCCTCAAACTCAGAGATCTGCCTGCCTCCGCCTCTTGAGTGCTGGGATTAAAGACGTGTGCCATCACTGCCTGGCAGTAAGTGACCTTTTTAAGACTTGCTTTTCTTTCATTTACTATATGCCCCAAGGCTCATCTAAATTATACAGATATTAGCAATGTGTTCCTTTCCACTACAGAGTAGAATTCCATGGTAAGAATGGCTTATTTAAACATTTACCCACTACAGAACATTTGGGTTGTTTCTAATTTGCAGCTACCACAAATAAAGCTGCCAAGAAACATTTTGTAAAAAGTTTTTGTGCAAAGACAGTGTGACTGCTGGGTCATGTTAAGTATACGTTTAACTTTATAAAAATTTCCAAACTCTTCTACCCAGTAGCTGTATTTTACAATCCTGTCATTGTATGAGAAATCTAGTCTACATCCTCAACAGTATTTGGCATTTTTACTATTTCCTCTTTAGCAATTATGATTAAGTATATACCATACCACACTGTAGTTTTAATTTGCACTTCCCAGTGACTTATGAGGGTTAATATATTTTCACATAATTACTTCTATTTATCCTCTTTAGTGACAATGTTTATGTCTTCTTTTATTTTCTAATGGAATTGTTTATTTTTGAGTTTTGAGCATATCTTTTCCATTGATCAGATATTACATGGGTTGGAAGTAATTTCTTGCCTTTCCTCTTCTTAATACTTTGCAGAATAAAAAGTTTTAATTTTGATGAAGTCTAAATATTTACTTTTTTCTTGTAGACTGTGCTTTTGAGTTGAAGATTAAGTACCTGACTCCTGAAAATTTTTCTTAAATGATTTTTTTTTTAAGTTTTCCACCTTACATTTAAATACATGACACATTTTGAGGGACTTTTAGAATGTATTTTGTTGGCTTGTGGAAATTCAATTTGTTGAAATGACTGTCCTTTCTTCTTGATCACTTTGTACTTTTTCAAAATTAGTTAAGCATATTATTGTGTGCTTATTTCTGAATTTTATTTCCTGTTCCATTGATTTATACATATGTTCTTCTGCAAATATCATAGTATCTTGATTACTGCAGCTTCATAGTAAGTCTTGAAGTTATATAAGTCTTGAAGTTATAAAATGTGGGTCCTCCAACTTTATATTTTTCAAAATTGATTTAGTTTAATAAATTGTATACCCGTTATCTTCAGCTGCCCTATAAAAAAGAAAATGATTAAAGAACAATTGTGGTGGAAGGAAATTAGAGAAAATACAGCATTTACATTTCATATGCCCTAAGAATATTTATTTTCAAATACAATTATGCCTCAGAATCAGCTAAGTAGGTCATATAGATTTCTGGGTTTTAGCCTCAAAGATTGAATTTGAACTTTGAAATTCAACTGATTCTGATGCAAGTGGTTCTGAGATTTTGAAAAAAAACAATCTAGGCAAAAATGAGACAAACCAAAACCTCCAATTATTACTGTGGTTGGGACTGATACTGTTTTCTTTCTTTGTATTCTTTTTCCAATTCCCACTTCAGTTTCCAGGATGCAACAGGCTCAATTTTTTTTCTGAAGACACATATCAATTAGTGGCTACATATGAATGAATAATAAAATAGAGTCATTACATTTTTTGAAGTATGATTTCTATTATAACCTAAATCCTAAAAAAATCATGGTCATCTTATAATTGAATTCTTAGCAGGATCACTAAGAATTTGCTTTAGACTCAAATAAGCTAGAACTCAATTGTTTGCTTAAAAAAGCATCCACACAGATCCAAATTTAGGTAATCTCATAATATGTATTTAGAGATCAAGAAGGAAATCCTGACACATGATTCTAATTGAGAATAATCAACAGATGTGAGTGCCAATGAGCCACCTGCACATCTTTCCATTAACCCTACAGTACTTATGATTAACTTGACTAGCAAAAACATCAAACTATAAAATAGAAATAACAAGTGTTCTTCTTTTATCTTATTATATAGGATGGATATATCTGAAAATAAAAACCAAGACTTCAAATTTTAAAAAGTTTATGTTGCTGCTGCACATCTTTAATCCCACCATTCAGGAAGCAGAGGCCAGTGGATTTCTGTGAGTTCCAGACCAGCCACAGCTACCTAATGAGACACTGTCTCAAAAAAAAAAAAGTTTATGCTGGGTATTTTCATTAAGAATAAACATTTAATGCCAAGCATGGTAGGTGGTGTATGCCTTTAATCCCAGCACTACAGAGGCAGAGGCAGGTGGATCTCTTGAGTTTGAGGGCAGCTTAGTGAGGTATGCATAGTGAGTTTCAGGGCAGCTAGGGATACACATTGACAACTTTGCCTCAAAAAAAAGAGAATAAGTACTTTTAAGTTTTAAAATAAACTTATCAGACATTTTATTTCCAGATAAATTCCTTGCTAATGTACTTCCTATACCCCTTACAAAATAACTTTCATATTCTGCTTAAAAACTTTCATATTCCTGTAAAAGAAAACAGCAGCTACAGGTAAGAGGATTTTATAAGCTCTGGGGAAATTTTAGGAACACATCTTGTATTTTTATATACATAAAACTATTTATTGGGATATAAAAAGTACTCCAGAATTATCTGTCTACATAGGAGTTATACATAGTTTTCAACCATATTCAGTACACAAACTGAAATATTACCGCGCTTTTGTCCTCTTGCTTTATTCTAGGGAAGACAGCTCCTCCATAAGCTCTTCCTTTTCTTGTTGCAACTCCTGCAAATGCTGCTGGTTTTGCTCCAATCTGTCCTCCAACCACTGTAGTAGAGGCCCACTGACTGCTGACATCTGGCTGCACAAATTCTTGGTAAACACTTCAATAAGAAAAGAAAAAAATACAGATAACTATGAAATAACTATGAAAAGTACTATTCACTGGCATGCTCCTACTATACTACCAACAATACCTTAGTTTTGGGCACAGGAAAAAGGAATTGGAGGAACAAGTTTCTAAAGTATAATAAGTAGGACTGGTAAATGATTTTCAGTAGTCAACTAGGGGGAAAAGAGCTGAGCAAAGCAGATACATATTCTGAAGCCCTAGATCCATAAGCCAAATAGAAATCTAATTATGTAAAAAAATAAAATTAAATTTAAAAAAGGAGAAAAATGGCCAGTTCTTCATTTCTTCAAGTGAAAGGGCTAAGAAAGCACAGAAGAGTTCCCTTCTCCAGTAGGACTCTACTGTCTCCTCAAATGAAAATAGAATTAAGTCTATGGAAGTTAAGCTTGTCTCTTTTGATCAGCACTAGAGTCTTGTACCTAGAAATCTATCTGGCAGAGAAAAGGTACTTAAAACTTTTTTTTGGATGAATAAACAAATGAATGGATGCTATTTAGTAACTAGCCTATCCATCACTAATTTAAAATTTTCTATTAAATATGAATTCTTTCATATATAAGTGCCTGTCTCTAGGCACTGCCCAGGTACACTGATCAGTTTTTCTACTTTTGAGCTGTTACTACATTTTTTAAATCATTGTGATCTTAGAGTATGGTTGTATGCCATACATTACCAAACTTAACTCTTTGTCATGTTATATTGAGATAAAAATAATGGGCTATACCAAGCCATGCTTCCTTTCTTGTCTTCACAAAGAAGTTTCCTACCAATCAGAAATCTTTCCATTGGTTGTTGTGGTGCATGCCTTTAAGCCCAGCACTTTAGATGTAGAGGCAGGCAGATCACTGTGAATTTGAGAACAGGGTGGTCTACATAGTGAGTTCTGGGACAGCCCAAGCTACATAGAAAGACCCTGTCTCAAAATAAATAACAAACAAACAAACAAATAAAATAGAAAAGAAAGCTTTCCACTGTTCTTCACCAGTGACTTAGTTTATAAATGTTTTGTTGTTGCTGTTTTTGTTTTAGTTTTACTTTTTTTAAAGTCAGGGTCTCACTCAGTAGCCAGGTTTTATTCTGGAACTCTCTGTGAAGACTAGGTTGACCTCAAACTCATGGCAGTCCTCTTACCTCTGCCTCCCAAGAGCTGGTACTATAGACATACAACACCACACCTTGATTAGTCATTAAATTGGGAAATCTGGGTTAGCTGAATAGTAAGTGTAGCTAGGGATGTGTGTATGTTGAAAAAAGTAAATTGGTACGTATACTAATACTGAGTTTTTTGCTCCTTAGACTTACCCAGGAATTCCTCCTCTATTTATTCACATGGAAAACTTCCTGCCTGATATATTCCCTTTCCTCTATCTGACTATCTCTTCCAACTCTTAATACAAAAGGTTGGTAGTAATGTGATAAAACCAGTTCATAATGGTATATTGCTAAAATTTCTGGAAGTTACTGAGCATCCATGCTATGGAATATTACAGGAACTGGGGTTCCCTAAGAGGTAGTATTTAAACATATACCAGCACAATACTGAGCTAGTCTATAAAAAAGCTTTTCTGGTTTTCCTTCTGTCTTATCATAAAGCCACATTTATAGTATTTAAGGGTCTGTAGGGTTTCAAAGAAATGTAAGGAGCAAGATTAGTTAAATTTCTTGAGAAGAAAACTCCAAAATAAACTAAAGTTGCTTCTATAAAATGAGTATGTCAGAGATCACTTCATATACTCCAGAAAAAAAAAAAAAGCTTACCTGAGCCATTATGGATCTTGGTTACTGAGTCCAGATGTGTAAGGCTAAAGGGATAAGGTACTTTAGGTTAGCAATGAAGCAGAATCAAAATGGTCAGGTGTTTAATAAAATTTAATAACCTGCATCAGACCTTTGCCAATTGGATTAGATGAACACAATGATTTGAGTTCCCACCATTGTTCATTTTAAATTTATTTTGGGGATATGGTTTTATTTAAAAATTCAAAAGATAATTCAAAGACATAATTATGAAATTACTATCTCTCACTAAAGCTCTTGATACATTTAGTAGACAAGGCCCAGTACTACACAATGGGACCACTAGGATGTTGTGGTTTATTTTCACAACCAGAAAAGGAAATGTGTTTTGACTTGAAGGATCCAAAACATATGAGGCAAGACAGTAATGTCAAAGAGATCATTACAATATGGTGTGAGAAACATGATTTGAAGCTGCTGTGAACTCTCTCCCAGACAGGTAGAAGGAAAGGGGACTCAAGAGCTGAGCTGTTAGATAAAGGGTCTTCACTGAAGTTAACAAGAGAAACAATAAGAGTTGCTACCTGTGAATCCTTCTGTATGCATCCTGTTCTTCCTGACACAGGATCTTTGGCAGCTCAACTGCTGATTCAAGGCATACTTTCCCAATAGTAATATGAGGCACAATATGGATTGGGATTTCAATTCTTTCATACCTGCAAGGCAACCAATTTAGGTCACATTTTATCCCTTAATTAGAATAAGTTCTCTACACTTTAACGATTCTGGAATATGGAGTGCTTCAAAGATTACATATTACATTAAAGATTACAAAGATTACATATTACATATTACATTAAGTTGCTCAATTTGACAGTGGAGAGAGTTCAAATTGGGCTTTTCTGGAGAGCAAAGTAGAAGTCTATTTGTACACTCATTCTCTAGTCCCTTAGTGAATTTAAATCCATTTCTGCAAATTTAACAGAAACCTTTAGGAATTCAAAATCAATATGGCCAACTGTCCAAATAAAAGAAACAAGTAATAATGCTTTTAGTCAATAAGTTGCCATGAAGCTGAATAAACTGACTCCAATGCAATGACTCTATCAGATGCATTTTGTAGATGGAATTATTCACATAAATAACTAGCATCCTTCAATTTTTATTCTCTTCTATGGATAAAACTAAGATATTTATACATACTCCCATTCCATGATAGAATGGAAGGTACAGACAAGCTTGTTCTAAGTCCAGCCAAGCTACCTGTATATATTTCTCACTCACCTAAACTCTACATTAACAGTAGAGTCAGTGGATGATCCAGTCTGGGAGTCTTCTACATTATGAAATCCATGGGTACATGGTAGTAAAATAGAATAAGATCTAGTTCTCTGCTGCTTTCTCTTCCTACCCACCAAAGTGTCTTTGGGTCCTATATCATAACTTACATGAAACATACATGATAGGAGATTACAATTATCCTTCACTTATCCATATTTACATAATCAGGAGAGAGTTAATGAAACAATATACAATAGTGGCCTTTGAAGAAGGCCACTGTGTGGGGTAAAACACAGTGATTATTATTAATGATGAGTCCAGAAACACTAAAGAAGTCAGTCTGCTACTCTTAGTCCCCTTAACAAGGTTTCCAACTAAATTTGCTGGGTGTATAAGCATAAATGGTCCCAACAGTATACCATATTTGAACATACATTTCCTTAAATCCATTGAGAAACTGCAGAGTTTCTGTTAGTTGACCAAAACTCAAATCCTAGAACCAAGGTAAACCATAGATATCTAAAGCTTATGACAGATTCTGCCTCTGATAATGAACTAGTTGTTATAACCAATCTTCCTACTAAAAAAGGTAAACCATAGATATCTAAAGCTTATGACAGATTCTGCCTCTGATAATGAACTAGTTGTTATAACCAATCTTCCTACTAAAAACAATTAAAACTCACTTAAAGAAATAACTTTCTGACAGATGTCACTGGAGAGCTACCAAAACAGTTAGTAATGGCAGGGCCAACAACTAAAGAGGGAGAAAATTTCAGAGACGAGCCTCACAGTTAGATCTAGTTTTCCCAGAAAAATATGATTCTAAATGAGGAAACTTATAGGAAAGAAGTTACAAAGAGTTTTCAAAAGTACTGATGAGTTCAGAATGACAAAATTATAACTGAGGACATGCAAGGGTGGAGAAGCTCTGCAAACTGTTCTCAGGCATATGATGGTAAACATACTAGGAACAAAAAGAGAACTATATATTATTGTTCTGGCTGGTTTTGTGTGTCAACTTGACACAAGCTAAAGTCATCAGAGGAAGGAGCTCCAGTTATGGAAATGCCTCCATGAGATCCAGCTGTAAGTCATTTTCTCAATTAGTGATCAATAGGGGAGGGGACAGGCCATGGTGGGTGGTGCTATTCCTGGGGTGGAGGTCCTGGGTTCTATAAGAAAGCAGGCTGAGCAAGCCATGAAGAGCAAGCCAGTAAACAGCACCCCTCCATGGCCTCTGCATCAGCACCTGCCTCCAGGATCCTGCCCTGTTTGAGTTCCAGTCCTGACTTCCTCCAGTGATGAACTATGATCTGGAAGTATAAGCCAAATATACCCTTTCCTCCTCAACTTGCTTTTTGGTTATATGTAGCACGAATCTTAAAGGTCTTATTAATAAAAACAAACCCAGAGCCAGGTACTGGGGTGAATGCTGAAATATCAGAGAAGCAGAACAAGCCACAGCCACCTCACCTTGCCAATTCCTCAGCTGATCCTGTTTCCTCAGACTGGAAGCCTCTGAGTCCTCATCCAGAATGAATCTCAGCTGAACTGCTGCTCAAAGGCCTAAAAGCTTAACCAGCTCTAGTTCCTGGTTTTCATGCCTTATATACCTTTCTGCTTCCTACCATTACTTACTGGGATTAAAGGCGTGAGTCACCACCATGCCTGGATGTTTCCAGTGTGGCTTTGAACTCACAGAGATCCAGATAGATCTCTGCCTCTGGAATGCTAGGATTAAAGGTGTTTGTGCCACCATTTTCTGGCCTCTGTATCTAGTGGCTGTTCTGTTCTCTGATCCCAGATAAGTTTATTAGGGTGCATAGTATTTTGGGGAACACAATATCACCACAGTTATAGTATTTTGTCACAGCAATAGAAACCCTAACTAAATATAGGGACTAGAAGCCTAAACTTGAATTATCCCAATTCCTAACTAAATCCAAAGTGATCTGGTAGTTCTACTAGCTAGAATACAGAAAGCCACAAAAACCCTTTCTCTCACTATAGAAAATATCAGGTAATAAAATACGAAAGAAAAATATCTATTAAGTATGAATACAAAAGTAATTTCAAATACATTATGTTCTAGAAAGGAACAATGAATAGATTATGAGTAGAGAACAGTGACCACTCTTCTCATTTAAGACAGAGAAAGGTAAATGATAGGGCTTTGCCTAAAGCTTAACTTTGCTAGGAGTAAGGAGAAATGAACAGGGCTTGTAATTATGCAGGTGTATGTGATAGACTGAAACATGTAGAAGCCTTAAACAGAATTGATTCAACTTCACAATCAAATTTAAGCCACCCGATCACCGGAGTAGGTCAGTTCGGACTTTCTCTCGACCATTGCCAGTAGTCTATTGTGGAGGTATCTTTGTGGATTTCTGGGGACCTCTCTAGCACTTTGCTTCTTCTTATTCCCATGGGGTCTTCATTTATCATGGTATCTCTTTGCTTGTTCTCCCTCTCTGTTCTTGATCCAGCTGGGATCTCCTGCTCCCCTAAACTCTCTTTCCCTCGACCGTTGCCCTTCATTACCCCCCCTCACGTCCAGTTTGCTCATGTAGATCTCATCCATTACTCTGTTGTTGGGCGATCCCTGTGTCTTTCTTAGGGTCCTCTTTAGTAGGTAGCCTCCCTGGAGTTGTGAGTAGCAGTTTAGTCATCCTTTGTTTTACATCTAGTATCCACCTATGAGTGAGTACATACCATGTTTGTCTTTCTAAGTCTGGGTTACCTCACTCAGGATGATTTTTTCTAGATCCATCCATTTGTCTGCAAACCTCATGATGTCACTCACTGTTTTTCTCTGCTGAGTAGTACTCCATTGTGTATATGTATCACATTTTATTTATCCATTCAGTTGAGGGGCATCTAGGTTGTTTCCAGGTTCTGGCTATTACAAATAATGCTGCTATGAACATAGCTGAGCATGTGCCCTTGTGGTATGATTGAGCATTCCTTGGAAATATGCCTAAGAGTGGTATAGCTGGGTCTTGTGGGAGACTGATTCCCTACTCTGGTGATCGGATGGCCAAACACCCTAACTGTCGTGGTAGAACTCTCATCTAATGACTGATGGAAGCGGATGCAGAGAAACATGGCCAGGCCCCAGGTGGAGCTCCAGCAGTCAAATCAGTGAGAAAGAGGAGGGTTTGTATGAGTGAGAACTGTTGAGACCATGATTGGAAAAAGCACAGGGACAAATGGCCAAACTAGTGAAAACACATGAACTATGAACCAATAGCTGAGGAGCCCCCAACTGGATCAGGCCCTCTGGATAAATGAGACAGTTGATTAGCTTGAACTGTTTGGGAGGCCCCCAGGCAGTAGGACCGGGACCTGTCCTTAGTACATGAGCTGGCTGTTTGGAGCCTGGGGCCTATGCAGGGACATTTGGCTCAGCCTGGATGAAGGGAGGAGGGCACTGGACCTGCCTCAACTGAATCTACCAGGTTGAGCTGAATCCCCAGGGGAGTCCTTGCCCTGGAGGAGATGGGAATGGGGGGTGGGCTGGGTGGAGGGCGGGGAGGGGGGGCTGAAGGAGGGAGGACAGGGGAATCCGTGGCTGATATGTAAAATTAAATTATATTATAAAATAAAAAAAAATTTAAGCCACAAGGTTTACTAAGAACATGGGAATAAGATTTGGGCTGAAAAGCAGAGAGATCTTCAGTATTTCATATTTCTTAAATCTAAAATTCATGCTATACATGGGAAATGTGATGACCATTGGGCAGTTGTCACCCTGTGCTCATATCACAGCAATAAAGATAGGTAGGTAGGTAGATAGATATATAGATAGATAGAAAATGAAAAAAAAGGAAAAAAAGAAGGAATTAAAAAAATAAAGTTGGGATATAGTTCTGACTCAAGTAACTTCTGAATGGATGGAAATAAGCTTTAAATTTTATATAAAATACTTCAATTAATAATAAACTAATTCCCTTTTTAAAATTTTAGACAGGGCCTCTTGATATAGCTCAAGCAAACCTGGAACTCAGTATCTCAGGCTGGTCTCTAACTTGTGATCTTTCTGTTTCAGCCCTTCTAGTGTTGGGATTACAGGCCTGCATTATAATATCTGGCTCATATCTATTCTCAAATGTACATGGAACTCTCTCCCTAGAATACACCACATGTTTGGCCATAGTTATCTTAGCAACATTTAAAAGTATTTTTTCTGATTACAGCATAAGGAAACTAGAAATGAATGGCATGAGAAAAAGTAGAAAATCCACAGATGAATAAATTAAACAAGATACTCTTAAACAACAAATGGGGTAAAGAACTCATAAGAGAAATGAAAAGAAACCCTGAGACAAATGAAAATGAAAACATAGTTAGTCTATTATGAGATGAAGCAAAATATTTTTTGATGAAAAAAGTCAACACAGATTATTTATAGCTACGAATATGTACACTGAAA